AGTGTTAATAGGATGGGCTAAAAGATTAATTTCACACCAACCCTATGCCGCGTAACATACATATTCTGATGTCGAATAAACAAACAACAAAATAATAATGACTATGACAATGGGTTAAGATTCCAACGAAAGACTATTGATGGTGTAAATATAGATGGGTGGGTTGATCGGGTTTGACCTGGACACTCGACCCGTAATATAAGACACACAACAAGAACACAAAGTATGACCTAGACCGGGCAAATCTCCTCAGTCCGAAATATATTTCTTACTCTATCTCAAGAGTGTACTAGTTTTTAGTGTGATAAAGAATGGATCCCCTCCTCTATCCAATATCATCATATTTATAGAGGGAGATTTGTGACCTTCCCATGTTCATCCATGGACAAAATAGGAAGCCCGTGGGAAAGTCACTGTACATAATCAATCTACTATTCAATTAATGAATTTAGCAACTACAAGCCAAGACATGTACTGTTCAATCAAAGACTATAAATGGATATTTTCAATCCAATCAGCCCTGCAAAGTGACAAATGTTTCTTTCACTATTTGCCTCGTGAAGGACGAACGGCGGGGTGGTCCCCTGGCCTTTGACGTTGATTGCCATTCCCAAGTGACGCAACCTTACCGGCCATCTTTCCTCCAAGGTTGTTCGGTCATTTCTTGCGCTCAACCCGTCTCTTTGGTCCTCCGGACTATCCTTCGTAACATGAAGTGACGAATTGGCTAACGCCCAAAATGTGACCGGTCACTCTTGAGTGGAAGTGACCGGTCAACTTTTGACCCGTCCCAATCGAAGAGTTAACCTCATTTGGTGATTGATAAAAGTGACCGGTCATATTATGACCTGTCCCTTTCGGTTATCCAGGTCGGGTATAAGGATATATTGTTAGACAAGGCGTGCAACTCTAGAGGGGGGGTGAATAGAGTTGTTGAGAATGTTTACCGATTTTCGCAGGATTAAAAAAATAAACGTAAGTGCAGCGGAAATAAAATAGAGAAGGGAAAGAACACACCGATGTATACTGGTTCACCACCTCGTGGCTAGTCCAGTTCCCCGAGAGACTCTCTCGAAGCTACCACTACTTCCGTTAAGCTTACGGGTGCTTAACAAACCGTTTACAACTCGAGAACTTGAATCCCACAAGCCTCGACACAACCGCTCGTAGATATGCCCTCTACAAGACTTCACAACCAAGACTTAAATCACATAAGCCTTGAACAACAAGAAGAACAATCTTCTTCAACCTCACAACAATAACTCTCACAAGAGTAGAAATGAGAAAAGATTAAGCTCTTTGGATGACAAGAACACTCTCTTGAAAACACTTAGTTTTCTCTCAAAATATATTAATTTGAGGAAGAAATGAATGGAGGATTATCACCTCAAGAATGGGGAGTATTGGAGTGTTTTTGTTGTTAAGAAAACAGACCAAGGAAGAGTGTTTAAATAGATGAAAAAGAAATAAATCCGTTGGAAGTGGGGAAGGCTGGTTTTGACAGAATTGGACCGTTGGGGATCGATCCAGGGCTTAGGATCGATCACCTGGAGTAAGCCAACGAAAATAATTTTCTGACAAAGCTTCGGGGGATCGATCCAAACTCAAGGATCGATCCTACGATCGATTTTTGAAAAACAGGATGATCGATCCATGCACTTGGATCGATCCAGTCTCGGATGATTCTGCACAGGTGATCGATCCAAAGACGATGATCGATCCCCTAACGAACAATGGCCAAACAAGGAGGACCCAAAGCATGTGTGCGAGTGGGGAGTACAATTGGAGCTTAATGAATTGTTTGAGACAACAATTTGAACATGATAAGGCTCCCATAAACAAACAAATCAAATGGGTTGAAAAGAATTAATTCAAATTCAAAATTTGAATTAAATAAAGAATTTTGGTGTAGAAATTGAGTCCCAAAAATATTTTGTGTGTCAAACGATGTACACGAAAAATATTTGAATAAAATATTTTTGCTTACCAAAAATATTTTATATTATCAAAATAAATATTTGATAAATGTTTGGCACACCTTTTGTGACTGACTCAATAAAACTATTTTGAACAGTTAAAAGGATTTTTCAACTGACTTCAAAAATAAATATAATTTTTATTTTAACTCTCCTAAAAATAATTTTGGAGAGAAGATATTTTTGTCATCCTTACAAATATTCCTACGACTCAAATAAATAAAAAGTCTTCGGAAATCTTCTACTCCTCTGAGTCCTCCGTTAGGCGCTCCGAACGCGTCTCGGACTCCAATAAAATCCTGTGCACCTTCTTGAATACTTCAAGGAATGGCACTTCAAGTCTTCGTGTTTGTCATTGTAGCACTTTGATCTTGACTTGAATAAATTGTGTTTGTCAATTATCAAAACCTGTGAGTCAACACTTAACAACACAAAAAGGGTTGAACTCATGCATTCCAACATATATACCCATCAACTATATATGTAGGCTATGGTTGTATGTAGTAGACATCGAGTTTTATTCGCAAACGACGCAACACGAGGGGTCTCCATAATTATTTTTGACAAAAAAGATATGTGATTATTGTGAAATTACACTTTTAGCTTTCAAATTAACAACAAAATGACAGAAGATAAAAAAAGACTATTTGTTGACAGATACTCATAAAAGAATGACTACTTATATAATACGGAGTATTTGATAATAGAAAACTAAATATGAAAACATCCATGTTAAAAAGGACAGATTATGGAATTCACTCTAATTTTGAAAAAAAACATTAAAAGTTCTATTTTGTTGTACAAAACGTGTTTTGGTTAAAATTAGATACTCATAGAATTTAAAATGAGGTAGAGATCACTGGATTGAGCCATTAAATACTTGAGTTGAATCACATTAACATTTTGAGTGAAATGGATTTCTTAGTTCAACTCAAGAGTTTATATATCTATTATCATCTAATCATTTTTTTGATGTGAGATACTCTTTAACACTCTCACCCAAGTGGACAACCGGACAATTTTTAATTTAACAAATTGACTTCTTGTAAATGCATTTTCATCTCCTTGTTTTTTAGCGCGAACACGTAAGAGACTACACGCCGCTGGGTATAGAGTTCCAGACAAGCAACTAGGTTAAACAAGCCACATGTATACATTACATACGAACAACTGGGCTAAAGACTGGTGCCGCTATGAGTGAACGTCTAGATGGACATTTTAACACTTGAGACGTGTTAAAGCTGGCTCCGATTTCATGATAAAATTTATAATGTGGTAGGAATCACTAGACTGAGCTATAAGACACTTGAGTTGAACACTTGAATCCCATTAAAATTTGAATCCAATCAATGACTTGATTCAATTCAAAAGCTTATATTTTATTATTTTATTCTCACTTATTCAATGTAAGATATTTTTTGAGTGATATAGAGTATAAATTTTCAAAGAGACCAAGAAAGTATATTAATGAAAAGAGCAATGCTAGGGGTACACTAAAGGTGTACCTCATTTATCCCTCACCCCTTTCTCCATCATATATACTTCGTATTTATTTGATTTTTAATTATTTATTTATTTTTAAATTTTTTATTCATTTATGTGGTGGAAGAAGAAGTAGAGGACAAATGGAGTATACCTTTGGTGTACCCTAACATTTTTCTAATGAAAAATAAGGACATCGGTTCTATACTTCTATTCAATGCTCACATAGCCACATCTCACTTAATACGGAGTACAATACAACACATTGGCATCTCACCCAAACTAACTGCGAAAGCCATATCATTATCAGCCCATAATCATTTAATTTTTCTCTATTGTACTCCTCATCAATGAATTCAAGATATTGAATTATCAATTATTGATCATTTAACTATCCAAAGTCTTTAATTATTGAGTAATGATAGAGTCATAAGTAAAAAACTTAAAAATATATAAACTACGATTTCTATAAACAAAAAATTCACAAAATATTTTTTCTTTTCTTTATACAATTTATATTTTTGAAATAAACTATGAAACGAAACGAATGGAGTGGAGTAAAACAACACTATTGCGAGGAGGAGAAGTAGATAGATATAAACAAGAGCAATACTAAAGGTACCCCAAAGGTGTACCCCATTTGTCCCTCACCCCCTCCTCCACCACACATAATTATTTGATTTTTAATTATTTGTTTATTTTTAATTTTATTGTCCATTTATGTGATTACAGATTAGTTAATTTTTGAGTAACTTCCAGAATCATTTGTTATGGAATAATTTTCATATGTATATTTTCCACATATAGTGCAACAGTGCACCGAAGACTTATCAACAACAAAAAAAAACAACAATCATGCACCAGTTTGGAGAGAGTATGTGTACACAAACCTTACCTGCACTAAAAGTAGATAGATTATTTCCAAAAAAAAATCCCAACTCACACAAAAGATGTATCGATGTATCGCAGAATAATTTTTAAATACTCCATTCGTCCAATTTCAATTTTCTTGATCTGCGTTACGATGCTTGACTAACCTTATTTTGAGTTTATTTTATTTGATTGTAAGTGTTAATAAATTAAAAAAATGTTATATATTTAAAAACTACGTAAACAAATCTACAAAGCTAGATGTGATTTGATTATTTTATTTTATCAAATAAATAACAAAAATAAAGAAAAAAGTATATAAAATCTGACTTTGTAAATAGTCTTGGAAAGCTTCAAGTCGGACAGAGGTCGACCATAGACCAGAGCTCCACCACCCCCCAAAGCTTGAGATGAAGAACACACATCATTCAAAATACTAGCTTTCCTACAACTAGCATTCAGAGATTTCACACGTTTTGCCGCCAGTTTGTCATAAGATGGACTACATGTAAAATATTTCTAAAAAATTGATGATTTCTACTTTAAACCCCCTAGTCCCCTTCCCATTCGTCGATTGGCTTGACCATTGTAGCCAATCGACAAATGGAAAGAGAGATGGAGGAGGAGATTATGGGGGTCGAGTGACTAGAAAATATCAAATTTTTGAACGGAATATCGTTAGAATCCCGAGTCATGCGATTGAAAGTGAATGTCACATGAAACCGGGCCATTTCAAATATACTTCGAATAAGATCGTGTAGTAGTATTATACATTGGGGAATCAAACATGCCAGGAGGACCCCTTATGTTGTAGAGAGTGGTGTGCAATGTGGGATTTCCCGAGCTCTATTCTTGGACGAATCCGATTCATTCTTGTTGGGCCGAAGACGCGGCTTGACGCCAGGCCCAATGAGGCCGGGCGTGGCCGGAACCAGAGCAGCCCAAGTACCTAATTTTCATCACTAAAAACAGCAAAAGCCCACAAACAAAGCCCAATGCAGCACTGGACCCTGTGAGAGAAATGGCAGCACAGAGCAGCATCACAAATGACTCTTCCTTACTGTTCATGTCCCTGGAAGCCATTGCCAATTCTACCCCTGCAAACAGCAGAAGAACCCCAAGAATCCCAATTGGGAACTCGCTCAGAACCCTAACCAACGAATTCCCGACCAGCAATCCCACCGCCAGCTTCGCCGCCCCGAGAAACACCACCGACGCACCGCTCCGGGCCCCGAATCTGTACTGTCCGGCTAACCCTCCCGCGCCGTGACAGCACGGCATCGCCCCGAACCAGCACCCCACCATGTTCATCAGCCCCACGCTGATCGAGACTCTCGCCGCCGATGCTGCGGAGGTTTCCGGGAACAGATCTGATGATAGCTTGCAGACTGCGATCACCGAGTTTAGAATTGATAATGGAATCTGTGGAATCGCTCCCCGGAGGAATCCGGTTTTCCAATCTTCGCGGGTGATTTTGAGGAGTCTGAATTTTGATGGACCTAGCTTGATTTGGTGTATGATTGATGGATCTCGGATGAAGCAGAGGATTAATCCGAGTATGAACACGATTAGAGCGGACGGAATTCTGGAGAGATTTTTCAGTCGGCGGTTTAATCTGCGCTGATCTTCGGCGGTTCTGTGGCCGGAATTTTCAGATTCGTCGACCGATTCGCCGGCGCCGGTGGTTAGAACGATGAATGAGAGGCAGACTAGGGCGAGGATGAGGCCGTCGAGGCCGAGCCAGGATCTGGGGGCGGCGGTGCTGGCGGAGGTGGTGGTGAAGTTTTGGTTGTACCGGATGTATTTGATGGCGGAGAAGGCGAAGGAGAGGCCTTGGGAGAGCTGCACGCCGCGGACAACCGGGAGGGGGATGAATCGGTAGATGAAAGACATGAGGCCGGTGGCGCCGAGGACGAGAAGGACGGCGGCGGTGGACAGGCCTGCGGCGGCGATCTGGGCGAGAGTAAGGTGAGGCCATTCGGAGACGGCCACAGCGGCTATGGACTTCATGGGCTGGACGGGCATGGGGACGCCGAAGATCAGGCCGGTGGCGATGTTGTAGGCGGCGGTGAAGATCAGGGTTGTGCTGAGGTCGAGATTGCAGACCAGAGTGAGCGCCAGGACTATTGGGATGTAGGTGCCGAGGTCGCCGACAGATCCTCCGATCTCGGCGAGTATAGAGGTTTTCAGGCGGAGTGAGTTAGTCAACGGGAGGGTGGAAAGGCGGCTACTCCCCCACCACTGCCGCCGGAGAAGTGGCTCTGTGCGGTGGTCTGCTGCTCCCTCCGCCATCTTGGGAGTGTTGACTTTCGTCGAAGTAGCTGCAGAAGGAGAGAATTACCAACATATGTAACAAAAAAAAACTCATTCCTGGCCGTCCAAGTCAGACTTTTTTTTCCTGACAGTGCAGGACGGATTTGCCTAATCCGTTTCAGTTTGAAAATTTTAAATGACACGGATTTGGCTAATCCGTTTCATGATATTTATTTACCAAACGGATTAGCGTACTGCGTTTCCTTTAAAAAAAACTCCAAACGGAGTAGGCAAATCCGTTTCATATTAAATTAAAGCCAGACGGATTAGCCTACTCCGTCTCGCTATTCGGATAACCCCAACCCTTCCCCTTCCGTCGTCCACTCAACCCTTCCGCCATTCACATCCGCCACCGACGAGAGAGAGCTCGCCATCCACCGCGCCGACCGACGAACGAAGGGGAACCGCCGCGAGATCCGACCATCCGAACGGAGCAACCGGAAATCCGAACAGGACAACTCGGATTAGGCTAATCCGTTTCATGGAGGTATTTTTTATTTTTTAGTTAATTTATATATGTTTTTATTTATTTATGATAATATTTAGATTTTTGTTTTATAAAATTGTAAAGGATTAGGCTAATCCGTTTCATGGAGGTATTTTTTATTTTTTTAGTTAATTTATATATATTTTTATCTATTTATGATAATATTTAGAGTTATGTTTTATAAAATTGTAAAGGATTAGGTAGAATTACGAATTTGGGTGAATTTGTTAATTATAATTGATATATATTATTAGTTTGTAATTGCCTAGTTCTGAGCTTGTTTTAAATCACTAAATTCTTTTGTGGTTTGAATGAAGTGCGCTGTTATTAAATGAATAAATTGTTATTCTGTAATATATGAAGCAAATGGATGTTCACCCGGGACCTATTTCACGAGACGTTTTAGTTCTTGAAGGCGGAGTACATAGATGTGATGCAGTTTGGGCGGACGAAGATTATGCCAAAAAGAGTCTAAAGTGTCATAGGACTTGTTCTAGTATATATCCGAGGACTCTTGTTGCTAATAGACCACCTCGTGTCATAGAGATATTACGAGATTTTGGATTTTATGGGGTGGAGAAGGTGGGTGGATTACAGTTAGATTGGGCTCTGATTACTTCTTTAGTGGAGAGATGGAGACCCGAGACCCATTCATTCCATCTACCTTTTGGAGAGGTGGGAATTACGCTACAAGATGTTGAGGTTTTACTTGGATTGCCCGTTGATGGCATTCCATTGTCGGGGGGCACCAGTCGATCAAGAGATCAGTGGATTCAGATTTGTCATGACATGATGGGTTTTAGACCCGAACCATCTGATATTACATCTTCTACGATTAAGATATCTGCAATT